AATACCAAAAAGCTTTTATTTGGGGGGTTTAAAATCACAAATCACCGTAGAATGCCAAGTTGCCTTAGCTTGGTACTACTGAAGATGCCCATAGCAATTATTTTAAGTCCTATTCTTATGCAGTTTACTTTCAAAGCAATGAAAATAACCACAAACAAAATAGTACAGTGGTTTTGAATCGCTCCTGTGTTTCTCCCGAGCAGATCAGTTTTATGTTTGCTACACAGCATTCCTCCTGAATGCCTAGTAATTCTATACATATGATTCCTTAATAAACACTAAACTAATAGATCATAGAAAACTAAAAGCTTATAGCAGGTGCCTCTAGACATATTTACATAAATAGCACAGTCTTGCAAGAAAGACCAAGATCTCATTATAGTGGAATGCTTTTTCCACAACGCTGGGTCCATGCCTCATTTGTCGGATTAACCCCATTTGAGGAGAAATTTGAGTTTGTGGTCCATGCGTTTTTTAAAAAAGGGAATTAAGCAACTTGTAAAAGCTCTTTTGAAATTAATCTAATAACCCAGTGGCTCTTCGGCTAAGTGCCTGGTCCTGTCTGAAATACAGTGGGTAATAGGCTTTGTTTCCATTTCACCTCCTTTCAGCACTTTCATCTGCTGGCTCTGTCGGGCAAACGTGCCCCCCAAATTAAAAAATGAAAATGCATCATAAATAAGGTATTACCAAATGGGGAGTAGATTAAAGATTGTCTCAGCAATGCTTAAATTAAATTGACAATGCAGAGACCATAAACTTCTGGCTTTAAAAATGAACTATTTCTTTATTAACTTTTAACAAGCGTGTGAGTCGATGTATTGCTCTGCACAGAAAATATGGTCGGGGTCCGATATTTTTTAGTAGAGAATTATCTCTTTAGAAAATTATTCCATAAAGATGCCAAAGGGAGATTAAAAATGCTGCAGCCGTAAGAATCACTGAACTTTTAAGGAGATGATACTGTAATTTTGTATTCTCTAGAAAAGAAAGCTGCTGTCAGACCTCAGGAAATAGTTCATTTTCCTGAAGACGCACACACGAAGTCTTAATCTTTCCACTCTTATAATCTGATAAAGGAGGCTGGGTTGTAGTGGTAATAGTAGACTGCTTGGATTTTTAATCTCCTGTCACAATTCAAAAAAGATTTCCTCTAGACAAAAAAAAAAAAAAGAATAAAATTACACTAAAATGATCCTTTTCAGAGGATACCTTTCAAAAAGATGACTTTTTAGTGTTCTTCCAAAGTAATTACCCCACTTCAACACTAGTGACTATGAAAAAATAATTTATTTGGTGGTTCGTTCGGTCCCTGGGGAAAATGAATTTAGCTGTACCTGCTGTAAATATTTAGTTTGTGCCCAGGAATCAAGTTTCTTCTTTCCTTTCAACTGCATACTTTTTTAATGGTCCTCAAGTATATAGAATTGAGGAATGCCCAATTCGTAGTTTATACATGATTATCTCCAGTGAAATACCCATTTCAAGACAAAGCATTTGGCATAAGGTATTGCTCAGCAAGTCAGAACACCTCAAATGTATGTATTACTTAAATGTTTAAATTTAAAAATTACCTAAAAATGAAACGAATGAAAACATTCTGAAGCTAATTTGGATCCGTAAAATTTGGATGCTTCTAAGATAGAGATTCAACTTATAAGAACTTTTTGTATAACTTTTTGGGAGCTGAAAATGAACACTAAACCAAAATTTTTATACTGAGTTAGAATATAATACCAGCTGTTATTCCATCTGAAAATGGAGTTGATTTGTATCCAAACCTCCCTATATGCACCTGAACTGTAAAGCTAAGAAAGCTCTTACAAAAACATATATTTTCTGGGCCCACGTCCCCTCTCTTATGGCTCTATGAAACCATTTTTGATTCTCCCTCATTTGATTTAGTTTTTTATTTGGGAATGAATGTTTTCCAGGCCTTTCAGAAGAAAGTGCCATGAAGTGAAGGGGCTTTAAACTTATGCACAATAGCTTAATGTTTTCAAAATTTCAGCTTATTCTAGGGAACATCTCAGTGATGAAGAAACTTTCCCCTTTGAATAGAGGGCAAAAAAAAAAAAAAAAAAAAAAAGTGAGAAGGGCCTCAAAGTCCTCGAAACAACCCACAAAGGCAATCTCCCTATATTTAATGAATTTTAGTTTCTCAGTGATTAAAGCAAATATTAAAACAACTTTACCTCTTCTCAATTTCCTTCTTTCTCATCACAAACATCTAATATCAGGACAGAGACAATGTGAAAACTGAGCTGAAAACTAATGTTTTCTCCAGTCATTCATGTCAACCCAGGTTCTTGACCGGATGTCTTGGTGGAAGGAAGTGAGACCAGCACAGAATGATGGAACTATGGCTCTTATTGTTTCCGCGACATCAGCAGCTTTAGTTTTAGGAAAATATTACTCAGTCTTGACATTTATAGGACGCTAGTGCAAAACATTCAGCTCCAATCTATCTAATTTCTTAGAGATTCACTTCATCATCAGCTTTTGTGGTAAGAGATTTAACAGTTATGTACTTAGTCCTATCAATCTGCTCTTGGTATAACTGTCCCATCTTCAGGGTGGAATAAGATAACTTCCAGTCACACCTCAGAAATTCCACTACAGAACTTCTTACTTTCACTTAGGAAGAGAGCGTAAACCTTACCCCTTAAACATGGAAGTTGCTGGCGTCAACCCACACACGTTCCAATTAATGCCAACATTTCAGAAGGAAGACTTCTGATGATACTCTTCTTTTCACAGGACTATCTTTCTTGATATACTTTATTACATGACATGAAAGGATAGAGAGCTCTTAAATTTTACAGTAATTTGTGTGATCAAGGTGGTGTTCTATTGCTATAAATAACTAGTTCTTATTAATTAACTTTACTAAGCTATCTCTTTTTCAACACTTACCTGTGACTATGATATATATCGATTCATTACAGTGAAGCCCTCCTGTAGGATTTTGTCTGCGTTCCTGTGTGTGTGTGTGTCTGTGTGTGTGAAGAACTAGAAAAGAAAACCTTGTAAGCAGGAAACAGCCCAACCATGAAATACTAGTTAGTATACAGGGAAGTCCACCCATTCAGGAAACACAAGGAATAATATGGTTGTAAAAGATTTTCACTCTCATTGGGTAACCCAAAAGACTATATTTCTCTTATTTTAAAGGTGCTGTCTTTACTTCCCGGGTAATAAACCTATTTAGAACTTAACTACTAAACAACAGTGTGTTTCCAAATAGAAAGTATGTGCTGATAGGACATTATCCCCAAATGGAAATGGCACTAAGATTATCTGTAGAAAATTAACATTAATTGAAAATAAATCCCTAAGACTAATAATTGAAGTCAGCATATTCTTAAGTACATATTATATACATACAGAGCCTGTTTTTTTCAAAGTTTTCAAAACAAGGATGTTTCATTACAGTACTTTGGAAATTTCTGATGACTGCACAATATAAGAGTCTAATGACAAAAATCATTAGAACAGCATATGAAATAAATTATCTGAACCTGCCAAAAGGATTAGTTCAGTTCAGTTGGGTCCTCTGGATGATAACTATGATGCTAATTGCATAATTAGAGGAATAATGGATTTGATGGCTTGTACATTACTTTTCTGTTGCAGTTTGAGACCATTACTTTATCATTAGTTCAAAGACAAGGATGGCAGGATTGCCGTGGAAACAAAGTTAAAAACAATGAAAAAATTTTAATGCTTTTGAAAGTCAGCTATCATTTTAATTACAATCTTAAACACTCTTGTTGAAGGGAATCCAAGTTTTCCCTTTTTAAGTGTCTTCCAAACATGTAATATGTAGGTTTTCACCATGATTTCAATGTTCATCTATATATGTATTTTATCATGTTATATAAATATATGGATATTTCCGAACGTGAAGGACAGGGTGTCAAGTTCAAGTGTGACTGGCTCTTACCTCCCCATTAGACTCCGAGAGAGGGATCTGAGTTTTATTTAATCTACCTTCACTAATGCAACTTAATTGTATAAGAAGTATCTGAAGAATATGAATTATTACTTTACACTCTGCTACCTTCAAGTATATTAGAATAATACTGACAGTTACAGACAAGGAGTTAAACTTTGTCTCAGAAAAGTTCCTTCAAGAACTTTTTAAACAATTTAGACTTATTTGTAATTAGCCTACTGATGGCTGAAATAATTTCAAGTGATCCATGATACATTTGGTGGCCCAAACTTTAAAATATGCTAAATATTTCCTTTGTTAACATTTATTAGCTATTTTTCTTTTCCCTTTATATGGTGCAAGGGCAAACTTTTGTATGTCTAAATATATAACAAATTATGAGTCAGTGGCAAGGAATGAGGTCTTATTAAGATTTCTTTTTGTTCACCTTTGAATGTTACCATTTAATTGGCATCATTTCCTAAAGAAGAAGGTGAATCTCAAAACGTTGGTGGATCTGATGTTTTGAATAGTCATTGGTGCCAGAAAAAGATCATGAAGGATAAACAGGACCGGCAAATATCGTTTCAAATTCTTTGTAACAGAAATACGCACCCATATATAGTTCATCATCTCCTTGTGAGCTGATATACCAGGAACAGTGGTTCCTCCTTCATTTCTTTAACTAAAACGATATTTTTATAAAGTATCATCCCTTATCCCCTTAGCATGTGAAATGTACAGAGCAGTCAGCTGACCTTGAGTCAGTGCAATGTACTAAGAGACCAGGCCAGTGAAATCGAGCATGTTCCAAACCTGCCCTAAGAGAACAGGGGAAACGATTACTCCCCACCCTCTCTTCCAGCACGGTGCCTGTTGGGCTGACATGGTTAACTGGATGCGCTAAAAAATAAACATTTGCCTCTCAGAAGCTCATAAAAGTGTACTAGAGAAAAAGTCTCTACCATTGGATCCGCACGGACTGCAGCCATTGACTTTTGGAACAGGTAGAACAGAGAACCCTTCACGGAGCGGTGGATAAATAGAAAGAAAGAGCCACTAAACATGTTTCAGTGTCGTACTGGAAAATGAAAAAGGCAACGTATTAGGAGTCCTTGTCACTGTCCACCCCTCCGTACATATCTGCGAGCTTTTTGAACCGAGGCCCCCAGTCACTAAGGTATTCGTAGTCCTGGTCTCCATCCGTGGTCACCGACTCCAGCGAGCTCAGGGAATCGGCCACCGAACCGGTACCCTCGTAGGCGAAGGTGGCCAAGGAGTCGTAGGGCGGGGCAGTGGGGTCCGTGTCATTTTCCTTTAACCTTTGGTTAATGAAATCTCGGACGTCGGTGTTATCACAAGCTGCTGGAGTCCGTCGGGGTAGAAAAAGGGCTTCGGGCACAATGTCCCTGCGTAATTTGCTGTCCTCTATGGCTTCGGGATTCCTCAGGGTGCCGATATCAAAGGCCTGGGTGTCCTCCTCTCCCCCACCTTCGTCGTTGTAACTGACAATGTTGTCTCTGATGTCCTCTTTGGAAATGATCAAAGGTTCTTTTTTTCGCTGTCGCCTGAGAGCTGCAAACAGCACCACTGTCACTGGAAGCAGAAACAAAACAGCGAGGGAAGGGAAAGTTAATTTGCCGACCAATTAACGTCAGGAAGAAACACTGCTCCAAAGTGAAGTTTTCAAAGTTTTCGAGGAAACTACTCGAGACTCAACTTTTGCTTCCTTAAGGTTGCACGTGCCTCCACGCATGATCAAACCACGACCCTCCCCCACCCCCAAATCGCGTAACTATTTGAAAGAAAGTTAGGATTTAAGTAGAGAATAGAACACCTTCATGCTTTGTCAGTAGTTCCTTCTTGCTTTGAAATGGCAGACTAGTTTCAAGGTAAGGGGAAAAAAAATAATAATAAAAAAGAGCTCAAACACAGTGAGAGTACCGCAATAAGAGTGAAAATTACGCTGAACACCTGAAATGCTCTGAAACTGTTTATAAGTACAAGGCTGGCACCTTCGGGGATGTGTTGAAGGGTTTGCATAACGCCACTTCGAAAATAATTTTTGCACTGATGCCTTCTTTTTCTTTCCCGAGAAAAGTATAAAGTTAGTTTAAAACCCAAAGTAGAGACGTGGATGTTTGGATACCTTTCTTACATATAAGGACAGGTGATACCTGCAGAGACCCAGATACAATTCAGAAAGCCATTTTGGACTTCAAGATCAGCCAGTTTGAAGGGGGCAGGTAATAGTGCACATGCCAGATTATCTGTGTTTAGGCTAAACAAAATAAGCACATTTAAGTGGGAACTTAAAAAATCTCTCAGAGTTTCATGTTCTGTAAGTCTGTTGACCGGAATGTTTGTTCTTTTGATTTTCCCTAATTCTGATTAGAGGCAAAGCAAGAGCTGTGTTTAAATAGCTCCTGACGTTCCTTCATAGCTGGTTGGGTAGAAAACAGCTGGCTACCTGTAAAGAGACACATCCACGAATGAACACATGGATGGGAAAGTGAAAACATACTGACAGCTTGGAGAGAAAACAGCTATCCAGGGCAGAAAATGCATTGTTAACCTGGGGTTGTCCATGGGAGATTAGTACCAGTAACATCTCTTTACTCTCTCATCCATAACATGGTCCAGTTTTTATGAGCCATGCAAATTGAATGATCACAATAAGAATTACAGAATAATGGCTTTTGGTGGATGTGTATATCTATCTCTATATTAATGGATATAGGCACACCCAGGTGTCTATATATTTAACATTCCAGATGTTAATAGTATTAATAATTGGTGATCTAGCAAGATAGTTCTATGTGCCAAGCACTGTGCTAAGTGCTTTACATACCGAATCGAATTTAATTGTCATAATAGTCTTACAAAGTAGGTACCATCATTATAACTCCATTTTACATAAGAGGAAATTGAGGTTTAGAGATGTCACGTGTACAAACAATTGAAATCTAGGTCAGTCAGACTAAAAAGCCTGTACTCTTAATTACCCTGCTTTGAAGCATGTTTGGATTGTAGACTATTTCTAAAGGATATGCAATTTTGCTGTTTTCAAGCATGCAGTTGTGTAACGGTACACGTTCTCTTTTGCTGCCAGAGAGTATCCTGATGCCTCATTTATCCCTTTCATTCACGGTATGTATTTATTTGTTCATTCAATAAATAATTATTTAGTGCCAACTCTGTGCCAGGTGTAGTTCTAAGCATTATCAATGAAAAAAAAAAAAAGATCAAGAGCCTGTCTGAAAAAGGGAGGCAGGAGTGGTGGTGGTGGGGTGGCGGATAGAGACAGAAAGAAACAATGTATGTAATAAATAAGGAAATTATTATAAGGTGATAAGTGCAATGGAAATAAGAAAAAGTAGGGCAGAGTAAGGAGGATGGGAAGGACTTCCGTGTACGTCTGAGGGGCTGTATATATTTTCTGGGGGGAGGCTGCATCATTGAGGAAGTAACATCTGAGCAACGAGAATAGGAGTTATCCAAGGAACTATCTGGAGAAGAGGACAGAGCTAGGAGGAAGGCCACGGGGTGCGGGTGTGCCTGCAGTGTGTGAGGTGCCAGGGAGACGAGTGCAGCAGGAAGGGCCATGTCAAGTGGGGCTGTGGGTGCTTTGTACGCCTTTACTTTACCCGGGGGTCCAGGTGGGTGGAAAATTGCATGGCTTTGGGTGGAGGGATGCTCTTAATCTACCTTTTATGCTGGTTTCCAGTGTGACGCAGATTTGCAAAACAGAGGGTTGTAAGTAAGGACAGCCTTTGGGATAGAGAATAGAATCAAGCTAACTGTCGCTCAAAGAAATAAATTCTGATGGACACAGGTTCATTCCAACGTTTAAGGCAAGATAGCAGGCATTTATCACTTCCTGATTTTTCCCCAGCTTAAGCTGCCTATATCTTGTCTTTTACTCCTGTGCACACCTGAAAGTGCAATTGTCTAGAAGACAGAGGGCGCATTCAGTAATTTAAAGGCATTTGTGCACTGCCTAATTCTCCTACTGTTACAACTGCCTATATCTTTTCTTATTGGCCCAATGCACATCTGAAGAGAATTTCTTGAGGGTGTAACTGTCTAAAAGGAAGATCTTTTTCAAAGCTAACTTTTATAAACCGAAAATGTGAGTTCTAAGCTCATGGAACAAAAACACTCTGAGAAAGTAAAATGCTGCCTTCTCTGTAACTGAGCCCTTCCCTTTTCTCTACCCCCTTGAGGCCAGAGGACAGCAGTGAGATATTTGGGGCCAGGGTGCTTGGACAAATTTGTGTTCAAATCCCATCATGAAACTGGAAGGTAGCAAGGCATCTGAGATCAGCAGATCTAGGTTCACCTAAATGATCTGACCTTTCTAAGTCAGTTTCCTCCTCTGTGAAAGAGAAGCAATAACACAGTGCCCAGTGTGAAAGTTATTATGCCAACTCTAAAGCAGCCACATGATCCACTTTCTTGACGGCAGATTTCCTCCTATATCAATGTGGCTTTCCTTCTCTTACCAACTCTCAGGTTTGCTGCCACTTTCTTCAATGGTCTCATTTTTAGTTTGAGCTCTCTTTCAGCCTGAAAGTTACACTGAATTCTATAAGTTCATGGAGAAAATAGAGTACAGTGTGAAAGCACCAGGGGTCAGCAGGGTAAAGACCTGCGTTTGGAACTTAGCTCTACCACCTGTTAGCTGTGTAACTTGGCTTCACACCCTGGGGCCTCAGTTTTCATATGTAAGATGCAGATAAATATAGACTAGATGGTTCTGAGGATTAAGCGAGAAAGACATTTGTAAAGTATCTTGCCCAGTGTCTAGCCCATGCCGTGAGCCTAGTAAAGATTTGATCCCATTTTTCTCCTTTTTAATTAGGTACAGAATTCCAAAGAGACTAGACAAGATGTGGGAAACACTGAGGCAAATTAGAAGTAATGAGGAGACAGTGAAGTCAGTGGAGGGAAAAGATGAAAAGAGAGACATAGGGAGCTGGTTAGAAGGAAACTAAGGGGGAGGACAAAGTGGGTAGATGATGAGGGAAGGGAAGCATGACCTCTATGAGATGAAGGCTGGCTCTTCCTCCATAGGCCACGAATCCATGGAATTCTACCTGAGTATGGCATGCCAGTCTAGCCCTTCTAAAAATAACCTTTTTTTTTTTTTTTTTTTTTTTGGTCGCCCGCCTC